CGTTACTGAGTCAATACTACCCAACCGAGATCAACTGCTCCATCAGAGGATGGCAGTTGCAATTCGAAGACGAAATCCCTCACGTGAACCAAAGGAGTCTCTAGTAGAGTATGTGAAGTTGATGTACTGGTTGCTAGTGTCGTTAAAATATTGTCAGTCACGCCTTTCTTGTTGATATTCTCGTCTCCTTGTCACATTATCTATTGTAAGACTTTCAGGCTGTTAGCTCCCTGCAGATCTAAACTTGTGTAGTCACGTGAGGGACTATGTAATGTTATTCCACTACTCCAGTAAGCTGGCTTTCCTGCTCTCACATCGTACTTGACTTGATCTCTCACTGGATCATAAACACTCTTTCTCTGCTCGCTGCCACAAGTTTTGTCTGATGATTGCAGTGATAGTGTTATAATAACTGCAGACAAGCACGTCACTAGTCCTAAAGGGAAATACATTATTATGGAGCTGCAATCACTGATGTGCAATCACTGATGCGCTGACTCAACTCCTCTACGTGGATGTGGCCTTTCCTTTGCTGCTTTAGGCATACTGGCACGTTTGCCAGGTTATATACAGGTACTATATGCATGAATACATCATGGCAACACAATGGTGAGCCAGTCAGCATCCATTACCGTCACTCCAATCAATGACATCTTTTTATTATAATAGTGAACTACAATATTGACTAAATGCCCGTGCATTCCCGCATAAACAGCCGTATTGTGTTGAAATAAAAGCATGCAATTATCAGAGATGCTGTTTGACATGCTGATTGATTGATCAGGTTCTATATGTGTCTATAGTTCCGTGTTCTATATTTACTCACGTAAGTGCTGAATATCAATCTAAAAAAGAACTTGAATGCGTTGAAGTTCAGAATAGATTTTCAGATATAATTTTTTTTCTTTAATTTGCATCATAGATGAAGGTTTCACATATACTATCATATTTGAGCTGACATTTAGCATGGATAGATAAAGAGTGCTTGATGTTTATGAAGCCACATTTATTCCAGACAATAATTTCCAATCTATTCGACTGAGCATACAACTCCAACTTTGTCACAGGCTCGTTTTCTACTCCCTAACTTCTGTTTAATTCTTTAAGATATCCCATACTGAAACCATCTGCAATGTTCTACAGCCGTATATGTATCTATGGACATTCCCGAACCTTGTACTCTATGCACGTATCTGTGTAAACGTGTTAAATCTATTTAAAGAGTCACCACATGCTGGACATGGATAGCTAAACACTACATCTTAATATATACTTTATTGCTTGTACATTAGAATTCAAATATATCCTATGTAATTATAATTCAGTATATTGGTGTAATTATCTTCGCTACATACCTACACTTTTATTAAGATGCTGACTTACTGGGTTATTATCACAACAGAATTTTGCCTCAGCTGAACATGCAGCTATTCCTGTCTAAAATGAGATCATCGACACAGATCATACATATATGCAACCGAACAGCATAAACCCCGATCTAACAATACACAGACTGTTACGATACATAAAATTATAATATAACTCATAATATATGTAAATTAAAATAATTAATTATAGTAAAACTTAACTGCCCTTTCCCCGTGAACAGTTCCAAGTAATGCCTGAACACTTGTGCGATGCAAATTAACAAAACAAAGTAAAATTTAAAAATTTAAAGTACAACCACGATTAAAACTTTGAATAAAATTTAAAAATTAATTGCATATAAAATATGGCATCGGTTCTGCCTATGACAGTGTTATCTAACACACACACGTACAACACAGAGCAACAGCGTTTATGACATTATATAGAAATTAACATATAGCTGTGAACATTTAACATTAATTCTTAACATCTAACATAAATCAACATTCAATCGATGACGTGTAATTTTTTCACGCAAAATTGTAGTAAATTTCTCACCTATCAGAACTGCAGGTGCAATAGCACAACCATAGATGAGTAGCTTAAATATGCTCGAGAGGTGTTGAAGGGACAGAGACGCGAATTCAACATTTACTTATGCGTTGGAACATTTATCAAAAGCCGTAGACTGATGACTCATCCACTTTTATAAATGGCCAGTCTCAATCAAAATCTATTCCAGTGTCAATAGCTCTGAACTACTTACTAGTATTTGACATGGCCCAAGTGTTATGTAGTGTTTCAAAATGAAATGGTGCGATTGTGAATCTACATTTAATAGATGCTTGAATATCTGCTTCAACCCAAGCATTTGCGTAAACGGAAAGGTCCAGTATGAAGTACTCCCCTGTTAGAACTAAATCGACTAACTCTTGAATATCTGACACACGTGATTGAGGATCAGCCAGTACCTTGCGCCACATCTTGCCGTAGTTGGAATCTGGATCAGAGTATTGTAGCAGGTTTTCATGGCTAAATCCCCGCACAACGGTGGGAGTCAGGTGGCTGTTTGCTGCCTCTTCTAGACTTATGAACTATGGCATGTTTTCTGTGTCATAATTCGTTTACATATATATAACATTCACGGATCGAATGATTCGATTCACGGACCCTCCTCCCTCCCTCTCTCTCACTCACCACCTCGGATCCCTCCCTCCCTTCCTCCCTCCCTCCCTCTCTCACTCCCTTGCCACCTCGACCCCCTCCCTCACTTCCTCCCTCACCACCTTCTCCCCTCCTCCTCCGCCACCGTCCCCCCTCCGTCCTCCACAACCTTCTCCCTCCTCTACCTCCTCCGCCCATCTTCCCCTTCTCCTTCCCCCCACCTCCTTCCCCTTTCTTCTCCACCAGCTTCTCCCCCCTCCTCTACCTCCTCCACATTCTCCCACTCCTCTACCTCCTACGTCTTCTCGCGCCATCCTCTAACGTGGCCAGGTATAAATTTCAGGATCGAATCATTCGATCCGTGAATCAAATGTTTCGATGCGTGAATCAAATGATTCAATGCGTGAATCGAATGATTCGATGCGTGAATCGAATGATTCGATGCATGAATCGAATGATTCGATGCGTGAATCAAATCATTTGATGCGTGAATTGAATCATTCGATCCGTGAATTGAATCATTCGATGCGTGAATCGAATCAATCGATGGTGAATCGAATCATTCGATCGCGTGAATGCGCAATCAATTCGATCCGTGAATCGAATCATTTCGATTCCGTGCAT